CGGAGAAGGAAGAATGCCTAGGTGCTCAACTGAATGCACATGTGGACTCACTGTTTCTACAGCAGGTCACTTAAAGACTGTGTTAAAGTTTGCTCCCCACTAAGACGATTTTGAAGCTTTAAGTGATTATATCTGTGCCATTCATTTCTAAGCAGTTAATGAGGATTATAATTAACGGCCAAATATGGCCCACTGTCTAGGGGAGAAGGAAGAATGCCTAGGTGCTCAACTGAATGCACATGTGGACTCACTGTTTCTACAGCAGGTCACTTAAAGACTGTGTTAAAGTTTGCTCCCCACTAAGACGATTTTGAAGCTTTAAGTGATTATATCTGTGCCATTCATTTCTAAGCAGTTAATGAGGATTATAATTAACGGCCAAATATGGCCCACTGTCTAGGGTAAATAATGTTTGCTGAGTGTTTTCAGAACAGTAAGTGAAAAGTCCCTGCCCAGTGATGTATTCTGACACAGGCTTAACTTCTGAACTTAAGTGATCCTGTTGGCTTCATCTGGAACTGCTGGCAGAGAGAAAATTCATTGTAGCTTATGTGTTTTATCAGACTGGGAATTTACTACATATTCTAGATTTCCAATCAAGTATCCTTCCTCTTTCTATGGTACAGTTTGTTCTGTGCTGAAGTCTAACAGGTTGGGGAAACACAAGAGAAGGCATGGCCTTTCAGGTACTACAATGATACTGTATTGAAGTCAACTTACTAAACATACTAGAATTATATGTGTTGAGACAAGTAACTGTTTTGTATTTAAAATAAATAGTACTGTTACATCTCAGCAAATTTAACAGGAAGCACACCCTGCCCAGGAGTACTTACTTCTGTCCTACCTCTCTCTTTCTGTTGGAAGAATCTTCAGGAAGCTTTTGCCAATGGAAAAATAAATTGTGCTGACCTAGTGAGACTGTAAATATTAACCTTAACTGTGTACAGATGACCATTGCAGCCAGTGATTCTTAGAAAATGTGTAGGTAACTATCAGTATTTAGGGATTTTTATTCCTTCTGGAAATATGTTGGATCATATTAGGAAAGCAGATGCATCTAAGTGACACGTATATGCAAAATGAGCAAGATTCCTGTGTGTTTAATGCATTGATAAATAATGCAAAGCAATATTTCAGCCATTAGCTTTGGCATTTTTTAATGGTTTTTAAATACATTGGATCCATTCATTACAGTCTACTTACTGGAAGTTTTATTTAAAATATTTTGCTCACATAAGCGTGTTGAGGTTGTAGGGGGAGGCATTACTGGCAGGAAGAAAATTCAGCATAGCTTAGATGTTTTGCTGGATTGGAGCCTTACTATGCTTTCTAGATTTCTAAGCAATCATCCTTCTCCATGCTTTCCCAAATTCTCTTAAACCTCTGCTGTTTACTTTGTTTCTTTTGTGGGTGGTTGTTGTTGCTGTTCTGAAACATTAAGAAAAAATGTGTCTGGTGTCCTCCCTTCAACCATTTCCTCCTCCCCTATGAGGGAGATGAAAATCTTGAGATAATGTTCAAGATCTTCACATACTAGTGCTCAACCTCAGCACAGTCTGCCAGCAATAAAGTCAGGAAGAGGTGCCCTTGGAACTACACCCTTGCAGGCTCCTCAAAATGAAGTGCCCACTTGGTGTTGCTACCAGAGGTGCTCTCATTTCTAATGCCTCTCGGGTGCAGCACATACTTTCTGGAACCTCTTCCACTCTGGGTGCCTCCCTGTCCTCTTTATAATCACCTGCTTGTGCTGAGGACTGTTTTGCGTGGCCCTGGCCCAGTGCCAAGGGCCTTCACGTTTCTTTCTCTGCACTGTATGTCCATGCTCATATGTGACCTTTCTAGATCTGCTCTTTTCTTAGAGATGTTCCTATTCTGTGCTTGTTGCCCACAGTTGCTTTTCCCATTCCAGCCCGCATTAGCATCCTGTCCTTATTTGTCCTCTACTTTTCTTCCACTAGAGGTGCTATGAGTATTCCTCCTACCCTGTCTGTACTTGACTGGCTGTGTGGAGCTAAAATGTTAGTGGGGTGGTCAGGGAGACTCCAGGAAGCAATGATTTGCTGTGGTCCAAGTGGACATGTCAGTCCTGTGATGGAAGGTGCATTGCTTGGCCCGTTGATCACCCATGGCTTTTGAATTAATCATTATGATTAATAATTACCATTTAGGTCTGTATCCTTACCCTTCATCCCCACCTTCCCCAAGAGGGGCACAGTTAATACAACCCAGCAGAGCTATCTTCCCAGAGTGTGATACTGCATTCACAAAGCTGTAAAGGAGGATATTGAGACCTATCAACAGAAAGACGTTGTATTTTGAAGCAGTGTAGGGCATTTATGTAACAGGGGGAGCTGAATCAATACTGGTACTAAAAACTCCCACACTTGTTGGGGTAAAATCTCAAGGTGTGGACACTAATAGACAGAGTAATACGGGTTGTTTCCAACTGTGGCTGGTGCTGAAGGAGTCAAGGGGAGGACGTGTGAAAAAAAGCACTTTTTTATAAAGAAGCTGTCCCTGGTCTTAGCCATATGTTTTTCCTTGTTTAATAGCAGTGGAGTGCCTTCTGGCTAATGCATTTCTCTTTTCAGAGGTCCCCTTGTATTTTGCTTTCTCGTGTCGTATTATGTTAGCATATTTTCTCTTACTGAATATGCAACAGCAAAAAGTGAACACTAATCATTCATTTAAACTGGAAATGTTAACATTATTTTTGTAAGTGATTGAATGTAAATGCGGTAGCTTGAATTCCCTGATGGCTTGTAATCAGGCTTGTTTTTGCAAAGGGAAATCTTATCTGGTGTTTCATGGTGGCAGCTGTTCACATGAGTCAGTAGGAATTCCTTCCCCATTCCTGCATCCCACATAATTTTGGAGGTTGTCACCTTTTTCTGAAGCATTAAGCAAAAGTGACTGCTGATGTGAAAAAATCCCATATATAAGATTTTTTTAATTCCCTCAATTTTTATAGCGTTTCTGCAGAAAGAGATCAACAAGATACTTTTATCTTTCTGCCCAGAAACATTTCATTAATTCTGTTTATAAAAGATTAAATGTCTTTTAAAATAATTGGTTTGAACATGTTTATTTTGAAAGCAGCAACTCCACTATTAATTTCAAAGTGTAATGGGAAATTTTATTTATTCGAAATTGGAAATTATTTAGAAATTAAACACAACTGATAGTGGTTTTTTTTATATTCTTTCAGCAGACTTTCAGTTGCAGCAGGGTCAGTAATAAAATAACATAAAATAATATATAGTGGTTAAGCCAGCTGGACAAATAGAGATGTGAGGGGGAGCCAGGTTTGAGAGATGACCAAACTTGTGAGAATGGGGAAGCAGGGGGAGACTTGGGAGAGCTAAGTTTTCACCCACTGCAGTATTATTCAATGCACATGCCCTTTTTTGCACCCACAAACTGGTAATGTCAATGCCAGTGTATTTGTTTGTTCCTGTGTGTCTGTGGAGCCCCATGACACGAGTGGGATGTAGTCTGATAGCTCTGCCCTGACATGCTGTCATAGCAGTTTGTGTGCTCCTTCTGCTGAAGGGAGACATTTTTACTGGAAGTTAAGCTGTTCTTTGGTGGTCTCCTTCTTTTCCATATGCTCTTTTGACAGCCTCCTCTTAACTTCCCTAAGTTTTCTTTCATGTGACTGGTACAATAGCACAAAATGCTCTCATGTGGCCACTTTCTGAGAGACTGATACGGAGCTGGACTTGGCACAGGATGGATGATTGGTATTTTTGCATGTCCTAAGCAACGTTTTCCCTCTCTGAGGACGCCAGCAAGCAACGCTTTTTTTCTTTTAAAGGAGGCCTCAAAGTCCTTTGGTGATGCCAGAAAACCTGATGGCAAATTGTCCTCCTCCTGGGACAGTGCAGGAGGGCTGCACGCAGAGATCTGGCAGGCTCCTCTCATTGTTTGGCTGTCAACCTGTTGGCTTCACGTGATTTGACATGACTTAGCAAGACAACATGGGAGGCAGTTTTCTAAGGGAAAGGGGATGAGTTTGTAAATGGGAACGGGTATTCCGTCCCGAAGGTGGTGTCGGCCGGGTGCGTTTTCTCTTCCAGCACTCTTATCTCAGTACAGCTGTAGCTAACCTATCCAGTCTGCAGTGATGGTTTTCATTAGGGCTCCTCGGCCCAGCTGCGAGGTGGGTCGATGATTTCCTCTACCGCCACTCCTCTGGCCTTTTTCTTCCCTTCCCTGGACATGCGGTTTGTCATTTGCTTGCACAGAGCCTCCTTGTACTGGGCTGTGGCTTCCTGTACTAAATCTGATCCAAATTTCTGCTGTGAGGTATTCCCTCCCCCTTGAAGGGTGGCAAGGAGGAAAATAACAGTTGAGAGTGAATAGGTGTTGGCTGTGATCTTTACATGTGCTGGCAGCAGATCCCATGACTTGTATTAGCTGCACAAGTTGAACAGATGGAACAAATTGACAAAATCATGTTCGCTCACGCTGTGCTTGAGGAGCAGCTGAGTTGCTGTTTGAAGTTGAAAGTTTGAGTGTGTTTTTTTTCCCCCCCTTGTAGTGGAATTTCTAGTTATATTGTAGAAGCTATTGCCTCAGTGCTCTGCAGTAGCCCAAAACAGTTAATGAGAGCAGTGTGTGTCCTCCTCTGTGGCTCACTGCACTCGGCCAGGCTTTTGGTGGGGCAGAGGGGAGTAAGGAGAGTGTTTCCCTTCTAGGTAGCAGACTAAATGCCTCCTCTGGTTTTAAGGTGTTAAAGTTGGTTGAGGGTTCAGTTCAGCCCTTTTCTGTTCTGGAACTATCCAGGTCAGGGCAAGATTTCAGCTTCATTTTGAGGACAGTGCATACAAAAGAGGTGATAAATGCAAATACGCTTCTGGAGTTTTGAGTGTGATGATTCTGGAACTGCTCATGAGGAAAACAAATTTTTATTCTAGACAGGATTAACTC